GAACATTTTCATCACAGCTTTCTTTCGCAAGATTCTCCTTGTGTCTGATCAGATTGTCAATTTGGCTTTTGTACTGGTCTTTGATTGCTTTCATCATTGCCTTCATTGATGCTTCAAGCAGTTTGATTGCATTCTCAGCCTGCATAATGGTAGCTTTTGTAAGATACCATGGTGGTAATGTGTGTATGGTGTATGGTTAGTTACCATGGTGGTAATACATGGTATTGGCAATTATTATCACTATTCTGCATTTTTATAACATGAAACTATATCTTACCACACCTTACCATATGGTAACAAAGTAAAACAGAACAAGAATTATGGTTTCCTCCATTTTTATAACATGAAACCATTGCTTACTACACATTACCATATGGTAACGTATTAAAACACAACAGGACTTATGTTTTCCTCCATTTTTATAACATGAAACCATAGCTTACCACACCTTACCATATGGTAACAAACTAAAACACAGAAGGACTTGTTGTTTTTTGCTATTTTTAAAACATGAAAGCATAGCTTACCACACATTACCATATGGTAACAAAGTAAAACAGAACAAGAATTATGGTTTCCTCCATTTTTATAACATGAAACCATTTGCTTACCACACATTACCATATGGTAACGAAGTAAAACAGAACAAGAATTATGGTTTCCTCCATTTTTATAACATGAAACCATTTGCTTACCACACATTACCATATGGTAACGAAGTAAACCACAACAGGGGCTTATGTTTTGCTCCATTTTTATAACATGAAACCATAGCTTACCACACCTTACCATATGGTAACAAACTAAAACACAGAAGGACTTACGCTTAGTATGAATTGGACAACTGTAATATAGATAATTTGTACTTACTTGGTTGACTGTTCTGATATTCTTCAAATCAAAGTTCAGTGATGATGACTGGTCTGGACTTTTGTTTCTTTGTCTTTTCGGTGATTCATAGACTGGCTCATTCTCCTCTTCCTCATCAGCTGCACCATCAGCCTCATCGTCACTAATGTTGTCAAGCTTTTCGATCTCGTTCAACTCTTTTCCATTGTAGTAGCTCTTAATGTTCTCAAAGTTGCTATCAACATTGTTATCATCATAGTAGCTTACTGTTGGTGTTCGAAGCTGGGTTGAGAATGCCATTTCGTCCAGTTTGTACATGAAGCATACCTTTTTATGCAGATAGTTGTATTAGTTTTTTCAAAGAGTATCATTTATATATAAAATATATGAGTAACAAGGTTGAAATGGCCAAGGGAATGGAGACTTACTGTAAGGAAGTGAAGATTTGCACTGACATAGAGCTTTGGTGATTTCAATCCTTCATTCATGTGTTTGAAGAAGTATTTGCACCAGTTGTAGCTGGTGAAATGTTTCAGTTCTTCAGTCTTCAAGTACTCAAGCATGTTGAGTTCAGCCATAGGTGCTGAAGTTGGACACAGCAAGCCTCCGGTGACCAGCAGAAAGAACAATTGCATCCATCTCTTAGTCAGTGTGGTTGTAGGAAGATCTTTTTCTACCTGACTTAGCTTTACCCTTGGAGTGGATGTTCCATCTACTTCGAGTAGGGTTTCTATTGCATAATCTGATGCGTCATCCCAAGAAATCGTGGGAGGTACAACTTCCCTATTCCCCATCGGCAGACCATATACTCTATGAAAGTCGATTGGTGATATCTTGATGTGTGTCCCGTCAGGTAACTTGAACGATTCTTTCTGTGGATTGTATTTGTTCATTACGAACAGTGCAAAATGGTTGTTTATCTTTGTCTGCTTGATTGATATTAAGCATGCTAGGCCTAATATCTCAAGTTGCTGTTTCCGCTCATCTGTTATTGACCTTGCAATTGCAGAAATTCTTGTTGGGCTGCCCCTTGTGCGAAAACTGTGTCTTGGTTTTACCATAGTGTACCTGAATGTAGAAATTAGTAATAGTCTGTTAGTATGCTTTTTACCATAATATACCATATGGTACCATAATGGTTTCCTACCATACCAAATCAAACCATATATTTATCTCATTTTACCATATGGTAATTACATCAAACCATGTCTTATAACATATTACCATATGGTAACGAAGTAAAACACAACAGGACGTATGTTTTCCTCCATTTTTATAGCATGAAACCATAGCTTACCACACATTACCATATGGTAATAAACTAAAACACAGCAGGACTTATGGTTTTTTTGCTATTTTACAACATGAAACCATAGCTTACCACACATTACCATATGGTAACAAACTAAAACACAGCAGGACTTATGGTTTTTTGTTTTTTTACAACATGAAACCATAGCTTACCACACATTACCATATGGTAACAAACTAAAACACAGCAGGACTTATGGTTTTTTGCTTTTTTACAACATGAAACCATAGCTTACCACACATTACCATATGGTAACAAACTAAAACACAGCAGGACTTATGGTTTTTTGCTTTTTTACAACATGAAACCATAGCTTACCACACATTACCATATGGTAACAAACTAAAACACAGAAGAACTTATGGTTTTTTGCTATTTTACAACATGAAATCATAGGTTACCACACATTACCATATGGTAACAAACTAAAACACAGAAGGACTTATGGTTTTTTGCTATTTTACAACATGAAACCATAGCTTACCACACATTACCATATGGTAACAAACTAAAACACAGCAGGACTTATGGTTTTTTGCTTTTTTACAACATGAAACCATAGGTTACCACACATTACCATATGGTAACAAACTAAAACACAGAAGGACTTATGGTTTTTTGCTATTTTACAACATGAAACCATAGGTTACCACACATTACCATATGGTAACAAACTAAAACACAGAAGAACTTATGGTTTTTTGCTATTTTACAACATGAAACTATAGCTTACTACACATTACCATATGGTAACAAACTAAAACACAGAAGGAGTTACGGTTTCTTGCCTTTTTATAACGTGCAATCATAGCTTACCACGCCATACCATGTGGTAACGAAGCAAAACACAACAGATTCTACACCAGTTCAGCAATGCATGCTAACGATTCGGTAATGTAGTGAGTTTTACTACAATTTTCACATGAAGAGTGACTGAAATACTGGTTCTATTGTTCTATGGATGGATTTCGAAGAAAGAAGTGAGGTTTTACCTTGATATTTTATGCGAAAACGATTTTTGAGCCTCGTTGAAGTTGGAAACCCTTCGTTTTTTGACGAAGAAGCGAGAACAGTGTATCGTTGAATGATTCTTCGAAAAGCTTTGCGAAAATCGTTCGATTTGAAGTTTTTTTCTGGAAGTTTTTGCTGCGATTTTGGTGAGAGAATTGATTATCGGGAGGAAGAATGGAGAGTTAGAGAGCAGAGGGAAGTGGAACTGTCGCTTGAAAGGTGAGAGAAAGAAGGAGAGAAGGCGGGACGGTTGTCGCTGTCACGTCTGCAATTCAAATTGTCAGAGACGTGATTACCTTTTTGCCCCCGCGTGTATTTAATTGGCATGATCTGACGGCTGGGAAGATGGCGCGATGGACGGTCAGATGGACGGTCAGATGGACGGTTACTGACCGTTACTGATAGGTCGGTTACTGATAGGATCAGTAACCAGTTGTCCAACTAATCGTCAAACCATGAGGGATAGTTTTTTTTTTGTTTTTTGTTTTTTTTAGGAAATGAGTGATATTAATAACAATTCTCACCTCTTGGCCGGTTGGTCTTACCGCATAACAATCCTACGTGTACACTCACTGCCACACGGCCTCTGCACAGTACCCCTCACGGCTCACGCCACCGCTCTGCAATTCTGAAGCTTATTCGAGATAAGGATAAGAAACCAGCAGGTTGACGTCATGCCACCAGAAGCTGAAGAGGTAGAAGCTGATGCGGGCCATGGCGGATCACGAAACTTGGGGTGGCTGGTGGTTGCGCTCAGAGTATTGGATCATGCAACCTTGAATTTAAACATATAGGATAACATACCCAGACAGAGAAAAAACTACAAAGCATGGGTGCATGGACAATCTAACCCAATTTGTCCTTAAGAAATCCCTAGGCAAAAGTTAAGCAAGAACAAGGTGTAAAGTTAAGCAAGAATAAGTGCAAGAGATAAACCGAAAGCCAAACCTAACTTTGGCTATTGGAAGAAACCCCAATTTTTACATGAATCTGGTAAAGAAGCAGGATGGCCAGCCATCTCTGGCGGGAATAAGTTCGCACGGAGCTCTGCAGGTCGTGAAAGGGATCTCCTCGCTGCCTTCACCAGATACTAGAAGGATTCTGCATGGCCTGTAAGTTTGGTTACGGTGAAGATTGATCTTAGGAGAGTATTGGATGTTGCTTTTGTTGGTACTGTCGCCGGCGGCGCTATAGGAACAGAGGTTACGGCTGTGGCGTAAAGCCATGTGTTTCGTGGGTTTTTATTGGCTTGCTGAATTGCGAATTTGAATATTGTTAATTCATGTTCACGATTGTCAGAAGCCGCTCAAAACGGGGTTCTGGATTACGTTTTCTTGATCGGGTATCTAGAACGGGCCCTGCAACCGCAATTAGTCAAGAGTCGTGAACCATGCCACAAGGCAAGTCTAGAAAATGTGGTATGTTTAAGGATACTAAAAATTGTGTTTGGTGAGAAAAAAGAATATTGACGTGGCAAACGATCAACGAAGTTGAAAGCGGGAGAAAAGGTTAGAAAAAGGAGAAGAGGTCACTGCAAAATCCCGCGATTGTGATTGGCTCCTTACCCTTTTCGGCGCTGAGCTTGGCAGCAACACGACAAAACAAAACAAAAAATAGAGGAGAGTCCCATAAAAAAAAATAGAGAAGAGAAAATTTAGCTTCGCGCTCAAGCTTTCTCTGTCGCGCTCAGAAGCTCAGACGATTTTCTGCAGAGCCACAGAACACAAATGAAACGTGAAAACAAAATCAACCCCTGCAAAGAGCTCCCCTTCCCACTCTACTCAACAAGGGATATAAAAACTCATAGACAAGAAAAGTTTAAAAGAAAGCATCATAGCAAAGACCACTGTTCAGAGTTGTGAGAGTTCCGACGCTAGGTTCGTTTGAGAGAGAAATGGTTCTGGCGAATCGCTCTGCTCACTCATCGGAGAAATTAGGGTTAGCTCGTTACTAGAAAGTTCCGATATCCGAAATGGTGAGCGAGAGAGGGGGAGCGGAAGAGCGAGCCGGCGAGGACGGCGACGGGAGCGATGAGGAAGATCTGAAGTGGCGCTGCGTTAGACGGAGGAGAGAATCGAGTGACGGTGATGAGAGCGTGAGTTCAGCCGGTGCTGCATTTGGCGATGATTCGGACGGTGAGGAAGGAGGAGCGCCGCCGCCGGAGGATGAGGAGTCGACGTACTACTTCGATGAGCTTGACGTCGGAGATGGAGAAGACGACGAACAAGGAAGAGGAGGAGGAGAAGAGGTAGCGGCGGAGAAACGGATGAGCAGTCAAGGCGAGGAGGACAAGGAGCCGAAGGAGAAACAAGTCGTTGCAGTTCCTAGGCGTGGCGCGTTCTATATGCACGACGATCGAACTGACCGTCGAGGTCGAGGCCGGTAATGTTATATTTTCCGCTCTTCACTCTCGAATTTGAATCTTCGCGCCGATGCTTTTTGAACAGATTATACCGAATTTGATCAGCCAGAGCTCGAACTAGTGTTAGAATAGAGTTGTTTGTGGCATTCGGAAACGCCGCGATTCTTTGCTTGATTGCTCATACGTTTTCAAAATCTAGCTGGAATATGGACAGTTCCAGTAGATCTCGTCTGCGTTTCACATTTAGAAGTTCCTCTGTGGTAGCTCACATGGAGTTTCTAGAGTAACTGAAGGTAGAAAGCTGGCATGTAAGCAGAAATGTGTCCATTCAGCTGCTTAGCAGCTCATTTATCCACTAGTCTCCGAATTTTGGAGTTTGTAGTGGGATGTTTGTGTTCTTTGCTTGTATTCTGTTCAAGTCAAGTGTCAAACCAACAATAATGCATCCATTAGAATACAGCTAGTGGCGTTTCATGCGTTGTGAATCCTGTCGATTCATTCAGAATTGAATGGAATTAGTGACATGTAGGACGGACAGTTATTTAGCCTTGTTCTCTTCGTTCTCTTGCGGTTGAACCTGTTATTAACCAGAGTCATATACGTTCAGGCAAAACTATGTGGCGGGAAGATTGATTGAACCCCTCGATGAAGGAAAATGGCAGCATGACAAGTTCGAACAGATACAGGCATCTAAGGACAAGAAGGTCATGGACCATATCGGACTCGTGTGCTTTGTTTCTCATTTTTTGCAACTATTTCAGCGGTGTGGTTGGAGGATATGAACATTTTCCTGTGATTGGTTTTGCAGCTAATGCTACTTATCATTTACATTTATTGTTACTGTGAAGAATAATGAAGACAACGTCTGATGCAAACCCTTTCCTTGATTACCACAACAATCAGGATTCATCAAGAATTGTGAAAGGGAGAGGGCCCGTAAAGTATCCACTCGCCATACGTTACAGTAGATATCCATCAGAGGAGAATAAGAAGTATGTTAATGGTTTCAGTCCGAGTTGTTCTCTCTTGATGTTAAAATTCATTGACTTGTTTGCTTTAACTTGTCATCAGAGATTGGAAGTCTCAGGAAACAAGAGCAAACTCTGGGAGGGTGCTAGCAGAAGCTTCAAGTCTACAAGTTGGTTCACCTGCATCGAAGAAGGAAGTGTCTGCATCTCATCAGAATCATGCAGCAAAAGCTTCAAGTCAACAAGTTGGTTCATCTGCATTGAAGAAGGAAGTGTCTGAATCTCATCAGAATCGTGCAGCAGCCGTGGGGAATCCTACAATTTCTACTTTCAATCATGCCATCTCCGCATTAACAAAACGGGATGTGCAAAAAATAAGTAAGGAAGGAAACTCTCCCAAATCTGTCCTATCAAAGAATGATCAATTCATGGAAACTGCCACTGCATCTCCACCTTTGAGGGGTTTGAGTGATTCTACTGCGAGGGACCAGCATCCTAGCAAGGAGTTGATCCGGGAAAATAATCTTGAATGCGTTCAGTGGCAGGGTCAGGGAACTGGTTTGCCAGTTTCACCTCAGCATACTTATCAGAATCCTGCTTCTAACCCAAATAGAAGTGCTCTGATGATAAACAACGGAGTTATGCCACAAACATCTTTCAGCAGCTCAATTCCACCCTATTTCCAAGGTTACAGTCGGGAGTATACACTTTTCGGATCACCATTTAGAGCTGTTGTGCCAAGTGCATCCGAAATTGGGACATTGTTCATATCTGCTGGACTCAACACTGAGTTGATCCATCCAGCTGCTAGCCGTCAAGCAGCTTTTCTGCCTCTGCAGCCGGTAATGACCTGGGCAAATAGTCCTCAATCTCTTCAATGGAATGGTCAGGGAATTCCTTTGTCTCCATCGCATCATGCTTATCAGTATACTGCTTCTAACCAAAATGGAGGTGCTCTGGTGATAAACAACCTTGTTATACCACAAACACCTTTCGACAACTCATTTCAACCCCAGTTACAAGGTTATGGTCAGCAGTTGTATTCTCTTTCTGGATCACTTGATGTATTAGATAACTCAGAGATTGCAATGGCTGGGAGAGAAAGTGGTGCTGATGGAACCTGTGGAAGAACTTATTCTGGAGATGATACCCATACCAATCAGAACTTCACAACCACTGCGAATCACTTTCCTGGTGCGTTCCTTTCCTCCCTTGCTGCCTGTTACATAATGTAAACTCCATAGTTAGTTGCAGACTACCTGCAGTAGCATGAATGTGCTCATCTGATGCTTGTAGACTTGAGAGTTATCTGCTGCATGCTCTAGTTAGTGATGAATGGTGGCAAGAGTTGGGAAAACTAAGTGTGTAGCATGGTTACCAGTAAACAAAAGTTCATCTCCAAATGTGCTTGATAGGCTGCTCATTGACAAAAAACATTCTGGTTTTAAAAATTTTAAATGCTTCAAATGCAGTAAACCAAGTTAGGGGTCAGCATCTTGGCGAGCTTGGAGAAATCGGAACAACTAATGCACCTGGATATTATGCTGCTGAACCGAGTTTCGGGAGTTCTGCCTCTGGTTTGGCAAGGTATGCTTGATTACAATCAGTCGATTGGTTTTCTTTTTTATAATAGTGAAGATAGAAAGAACTGTCTATGAATCAGCACTCTGACATATCTGTTTTCCAACAATATCTATCATCCTTCAGGATGCAAGTCTGGCCAACTAATGCTGGAAGTGTAGGCTCTGCCCATCCTTCTTCTACCTATCCGACACCAACCACCATAGAATATGGCCGTGCCTATTCAACAGACCCAGAATCTTTTTTAAGCATGACTGGGTTTGTAAATTTTCATACTTGTCTGTGTTGTGGAAATCACTGAACACTTACTGAAATATAGTTTCAACATTGGTTCCATTAATAACCTTATGCAGAAATGAAGACAATGGGAGACCTCATGAGGGTAGCAACCCTATGGATGGATCTGGTTAGTTTTGTGGCATTTGCAGTACATGAATGTTCAAAACAAAAACAAGAAAAACATGTTGATTATTATTTTCCCATTTGTCACGGGAGCTTTGCATTGCAGAAATGCCAAATACAACACGTGGAGGACACAAGCTTCAAAGGCAAGTCAATCATATGAGTTGCTTAAACTACGGATTTATATAGATCCCTCATCTCATCTCTGTATTGCTTCTGCAGGTATTCGAATATGAATTTCAATCGAAGCAAATAGATCAAAGCCGCATTAGTGAGTAAGCAGGTCAGAAATTGGTCCTTTGAACCAGCATAATTTTACATAGAACATGCATTTTGCTTCTTCAATATGCAACCAGTGTGTTAAAACTTAAATCCTGCTTCTTTATAGCTTTTCAAATTTAATCGTGGTGGTCGGTTGCTTCATTTTGTGGCAATCTTAAAATGACCCACGTCATTTCCCCCTTCACAATGGTAATTTTGAGGCAGACTACATACGAGAGCTCTAGAAGTTGGATTTTACATGATGGCTTGCTAGTTTCCAAGTTTACATTTGATATTGAAGTTTAGTGGGTATTTGGATTTTTTTTATTAAAAAAAAAACTTGTGACTATTTTCAAATGTTAATTTATAGTAAATGGAAAACCTACATCTTCTCAACGTTTTCTTAATTCACATATTTCGTGCTCAAATGCCACATTTGTGAGAAACTAAATCTAGATCACATTGTTCAATTCATAAATCCAAAACAATCGTTGTTGATGACAGGATACTTGCTGGTTATCGTCGCAGCTCAAATGGTTCGACAATGCTGGTGCACAGACAACTAGATACCAAAAAGGAACTCAGGGTTACACATTGTATGTACCTACAGAGAGGAGATTTTGTGATTTCAGGCTTGTGCAGATATCTACACAGACTCTTTTGAAGAAGATGAAGGTAGCTAAATTGGCTCCCCTATCCCCAGTTCCCATACAGAAATCTTTTGTAAGCACCAACCTCCCTAACTCTCAATTTCAGGTATCTTCCTTCATTTCTGTTGATCGCCTCGCCTCGTCTGCATGTCTTTCCATATGCTGCCAAGCAGCATATAGTTTTGCTGTTTACCAGTCACTGATCAGATGAATGAATAGATTAACCTTTGCCATTTAACATTCTGGTTCTCTCTCTCTCTCTCGCTCTTCAACTTTGGCTGCTCCTCTGTTGAAAACTTCCAATCCATAACATGGTCAGCTTGTAGACTGTAGAGCCCTTTGTGTTCTGTGGACAACAGCTATTCTTAAAAGCCAATAATCAAATGCGTTGGCCAATAGATGGGTATCAATTATTTGTGCTGACACCATGTGTGGATTTTGTATTAACTTCTCATCCTCAAAATGTATGAAAATTGAAAGCCATCTAGCTGGTGTCTCATATATCTTGTTTATTGCATACCAAATTTTTTTACAAGTCATTAACATATTTAAATCCTTATCTTCACTTAATTTGTCGGTGAACCCTTGGCCCCTGCTGATAACACCATAGTCCATACCCCATTTTTTTGTATTATTTGTGTTCGTTCTCAGCTCTCATCATCTAGCTTTTAGAACCTTGTGTTAATTAATATTAGGGGCGGTGCTTAATTTTGCAGCAACTTATAAAAACTGGGATAATGTTGTATGCATAGTGAATGAACTGTTCTGAATGTCATGTAGCATGCTACCTCACAACAACTCTTTAGAAAATTCTGGACTGGGATAGTATATGTGTACATAGGAAATTAGGTACATTTTCAAGTCATTGACTGTGGAAGTCTCAGGGCTTGAAAACGATAGGCATGGACTCCCTGTTCCAATGTTTTCTCTAGGCTGGGATGTTTATTTATTTATTTATTATTATTATTTGTTTTTAAGGGTGTTTGAGATTAGTGATGGTGAATGATGTTATAAACCTATCTGCTCCGATTTGATTCAAACTTTTGTGGATGAAGGTTAGTTGATTGGTGGATCACCGAGAATAGGAGTTTATTATAGGGGTGAATTTTGATTCATTAGTTAGTTTCTGTACTCTTTCTAATTAAACTCTTTAGCAAAATCTGTAGTGGGATAGTATTAGTATATGTGTACATATGGAATTAGGTAAGTTTCAAGTCATTGACTGTGGAAGTCTCAGAACTTGAAAACGATAGGCATCGACTCCCTGTTTCCATGTTTGTCTTCATAAATGATGTCTGCTCCGGTTCGATTGGACCTTTTGTGGATGAATGTTCTGTTAGCTATCTCGTGGATAACCGAGAGTAGGAATTTAGTTATACTTCTCTCGGAAATGTGAGATATGTGTTTAAACGTTCTTCCATCTGAGCCCAATTCGTATCAAGGCGAATATGAATTAGGATATATGGAATGGAGAAGAGTGGCTGAATATGTGAAACACAAACAGACACGAAATGGACAGCGAAGAGTGAAAACTGAGGCACATTTGGGGACAGGCAATGGCCCCTGTAATATTTAGAATGGGGGAGGGAGACGACAGTTCTATAATTGGTGTGGGGATGGTAATATCTGAGAAATGAAAGTTCCACTAGTCAGTGTGGGACTGTGACATAAAGTCGCCAGTTCTCGTCTTCTTTAATACAATTATATATACGTGACACTTACCATTGTCAGCTTGTCAGTAGAGTACACTTCAGGCACTAGAGAAAAAAATATTCCAGAGAAGAAAAAGGAAGAAATTCGTGGAATTGGCATCCAGCCAGCCTTGTGATTTCCAGAAACATTGCCTCTGAATTTGCGTTGGGTGTTTTTGTTGTTTTACTCTGTGAGGGAAGGGAAGAAGGAATTCTCTCTTTCTGTTGCTCCACATGAATGAATGAATGGAAGTGAAAGTTGCCCAATTGGGGGCCAGCCGAGCCTGTTTCTTTGTCTTTCATTTCTTTCGGCAGGTCATGTGAGCAGCACGTGTCGCAACATGATTTAGCTGTGTCAAGTGTTTGACATTAGTATTTGGAAAACCGTATTCCATCGGAGTTTAAGCTAATATGAAATGTTTGAATTATTGTTAAATTATAGTTTTGATACAAAATATTTATTGATGATTTGGCAGTACAATCTCGGTACAATTTTACAATTTGTGATTGAAATGTTTAGTCCAACTTAGTCTTCTTTCCGTATGTAATAGAATGACATTTGTTATCTTGTTTGTGAAATGGAAAATTTTAATTAGTTAGTCTCCCGGAATGGAAGCGGTGGAACTGGAAAATTATCGACATATGTGAGTGATCGTCTCTGATAGGTGTCAAAACTAGCCTCAATTCCTGCAAAGAAAAGCCGATCGTCGCCACATGGAACAAGCTGTTGAGACAAGACCCATCACCGTAAGGAAAAATAAAGGAACTATTCAACCTTTGAATCATTTCAAACCAGGCTTAGGCCTTAGAACTAGTAGCCATCCCAATAATTCAGAGCCAATTTGGCACATTTCCACTATTATACGAACGCATCGAGACAAAAGGCTTCCCCATAACTTCGACCGATCTCATCATGCGCCCGTCTTTGGATGGTCTTAGGAAACGCCTACAATCTATGCCTTGCCAACGGTGTTGGCCTCTAGCTCGATCAAATACTGAACATTGAGGTGGAAATTTTTTGGGGGCTTGTTCTTGTATGGTCATAAGTAGTTAGTAAAAGCTGTATTATCTTTCAAATCTAAGTGATGGAATTGAACGATTCTCAATACATGGAGCGAGGAGGGCGAGTAAGTCAGATACCTTAAACAACGATGGTAGTATGAGGTAATGCTTTCGGATCTCGTCGAGCTTTACAAAGCATGAATTTTTTTGAGTTCTCAAAGTTAGGAAGAACATGGAGACAAGTCATTCTATCAAACATACAGGATGATCCGCTCTCCGATTCATTCAGTTCCGAGTTATGGGTAATGGATGAGTAAAATGAGTTCTTATCTCTGAGTTATGGGCATTCATACACATATTAAAATGATCTTTTTGCTTTTCATTTTCACCTCGAATTGTTCTCTTTCCTGTCATTATTCTCTCCTTCATGCAAAGAGAATATTGTTAAAACTTAAAATTTAAAGGGATTAAACCAAAAAAGTATAAAAGAATTTTAAACTTTAGACTTATCAATCTACATTTGAAATTCAATTGCTTTTCTCAAAATGCTTAGCAAGTTTGAAGATAACAAATTCAAATGACAAGAGATTCCACCTAAACCATTGAAATTAAGACAACCCACATAGTTTTGGTACTTGCCCCCTTACCACTTAACACTTGCATTAATCTACTAAACAATCTTACCAAAAAGTATTTTGGTGGTAGAAAACCCCTCAACACCGGCATGATAAAATAAAAACAAAAAGATTCTTATCCACATATCACATGTTCCAATATTTATTTACCACATATTACCTCAATGCTATCAACCACATGCCATAAACTTTTATTTAATTAACCCTCCAAGCATATTCCTTAATCCCTTCCATTCCCACTCTTCCACTTAAGTTATATAAGAAAATCAAATTGCATCCCCATCGGATCAATCTATCAACTCAGCCGATTTAGAAAGAAACTCAAAAGATTAAAATTGTCGGCAATCAAACTCGATCAACCTAGTAACTAAGATGGTGTACTCATCTGTCGCACTCGACCGAATTACTAAACCGATCGACCACATACGGGTAATACACCATTCATTCATTCCCTGCCAGCAAGGTTATTCAAATATGTCTCCTCTTTGTAAAACGCCCTCACTTGAGGTCATATAACACATGTTATCACAATCGACTTTATCACTACGATAATGTACGTATCTATCATTATCGACCTGATTACTAAACTGATCAACAATATATCGGCATATACCATTCATTCATTCCTTGCCAGCTAGGTATTTAAATATGTGACCCTTCTTTGTAAAATGCTCTCACTTGGGGTCACATGACACATGCTATCATCTACTAAAGGACTCAAAAACTTCTCCTTCTCCTTCTCCTTCCACATGAAACCCTCTGCTCCCAACCCTGCCTCCAGAATTTAAGGTGGCAGAGAGAAGAAGAGAAGCACCATTCTTGTGCTCCCTCCCACTCTTTTACATCCACTCCCTGCCATTTGGATTCCTTACAGCTCCTTTTTTATTACTACAGAGCTCTTCTTTTCAAGCAATTTGTTGACCAGTGAGTGATCTCCATGTGGTCCTTTTGTCCCCTTCTTCTCCTCCTTCTTATTCCCACTTCCCACATAGTTTGGCTTAATCCTCACTCCATTGTCTAGTGTGCAAGCAAAGGCTTCCCACTCTGCTCTCTCTTCTCTTCCCTCCATAGATTAAAAAGATTGAAACTTCAATACATCTTATAAATAAACAACTGCTAGATCTGATCTCACAATTTTGTGATAACAGAGTAGGCTTCGTGCTCTGTTTACTCTGTTTTTTGGAGAGGCAGGGGAAGTGAAGAAAAAGGGGAAGGCAATATTCAGATATCCATCCATGGGGAAGCTGATGGGTTTTGGGAAGGTGTTCGACAGACTCTGTCTGTCTCCATCATCGCCGAACTCGAACTCCTGCTTCTGCACGAAATTCATGGAAGCTGGTGACGATGATGATTTGGGGGAAGTGTTTGAGCAGAAGGCGCCATTGATGTTGGGGAGTGTTGAGAAGAAGAGCAGCAAGGTGGTGAGACTCAAAGATGTTGTCTCTGTCAACCCGAATCAGACTCTGGCATTTCAACTCAAGCCCAAGGTAAGAAAACCTCTTCTCATCTCTTCGCTTTCCTGTTCATGATTCTTGAGTTGTTTGTTTGATTGTTTATTGTGTTTGCAGATGGTGATTCTGAGGGTATCCATGCATTGCAGTGGCTGTGCCAAAAAGGTTGAGAAGCATGTTTCCAGGATTGATGGTAAGTCATCAACTGATTGATCATTCCAAGTTCTTCAAAAACATGATTTCTTTCTTCTTCTTCTTGTCTTTGTTATAGATCAAATCGTTCAAAATTATTAACTAATTATTGTCCATTCATGTAGATGTACAAAATTTTATTAGAAGGTGAATCTAGAAATTTCTAATGAGTGACTAATGTGATAATTCTAAATAAAAAGTTTTTAAGTAATTGTACACACAAATCATCTATTCTCAAAATCGTTTATAAGGTCAAAATGACATTTCAGACATGAATCTAGCATTATAGATTTAATAAGTATATTCTAAGAAAGACACTTTAGCTTTAGCTATATGCACTCAAAAGTTTCAATCTCCATGCTTTTATGTTCTCTATAGTATGTGTCTCAGTCTCCCACATCTCATCCTATACTAAGTTCCAATTTTCTTGGTTAAATCAAAGTGCTCATTGGTTTTCCTAATCACACACCCCATAAAATAATTTGACTCAATAAAATTCTTGTAACCTTAAAAGAATACAATACGATTTGTACAATCACCCCTCCACAAACTAGCTGACCTAAGAAATGCATTCATCTATAAAACTATTAAAAAAACTCCTTGTTCTTAATTTTCAATTTTTTGTTTTAGCCATTTTCTAGAGATCAACCACAAATTATATGATTTATCATACCCTAATCCATCAAATGAAGGGGAAAAAAAGGTAGAATAGTGAAATAGTAGTATAGTGCAGACTACACTATTGTTATTATGATGTGATTGTTAGTGATGACAATTTAAATTTCAACGTCTTCCGTTGAGTATCATTTGATCTGATTCGTATTGAGAAGGATAATATTCAATTTCAGCAACGTGAGGCGGGGTGTGAGTACTATTTTTGCCTTGGCCTTTCCTGTTCTTGATCGGTTTTGCCAAGATTTGTCTCAGTATCTATCTTTATTTCTCTATTTTGACTTATCTTAACTCATATACTTTATAAGCATAACATTTCATCTTTCAACTAATTGAACTCACTCAATCTAACTATTGTATTTCATTTTCATTTATGAACTATTTTCTCTTTGTTATCGTTAAAAATAATTTTTTTAATAATCAATAAAAATGAGCCGGAGCAACCGCACAGGTAATACATGACCTTAGAGGCTTAGACGAACTAAGTATGAGTCTTGAGGTACCAGCCCACCCAATTGGCATCCCTAGTGATTGTGCCTTTTCTGAGTCATGGGAGCATAGTAAACCCATATTAATATTCCTAAACGACATATTCCCACATGGTTAACAATTAGGTAACAAGGTCTTAATTAAAAAAAAAGTTGATTAACATATATATGATAATGTTTGTATATGCTTGCAGGAGTGAGCTCATACAAAGTAGACCTTGAAAGCAAGAGAGTGGTGGTGATTGGAGACATTCTTCCTTATGAAGTGTTGGCTAGTGTCTCTAAGGTCAAGAATGCTCAGCTTTGGATGTAATCTCCATAGTAATCTCCTCTTAATCATTCATTAATTAGCCTTCCCTCCAATTCCCATTTTGTTGTTAATCGCAAGGGAAGGAGGCAAGTCCTATATATAATTATGCTCTCTCTATATATATATCTATGATAGAAATGTTTCCTCGTGTAAATGTATCCATAATCCCATTATGTAAAATTCATCAATCAGTGGAATGGATTTTGCGTTTGTTATGGCATTGTCGTAGTCATAGAATCTTTATCGTTACCATTTCGTCATTTCGAATATGAACTAACACGTTTTTCGCTTTGTACCCAAAAAAGACTAACATATTGCACTCTTTTTCTATCTTGAGTCCCATTAAAACCTCGATGTGAAGAGGGAGGAAAAGCTCGGAGTTTTTTTTCATTTTAACCTACATATATGTCGTCTGATTGAGTTTTTAGAAAGAATGTGAAGATGGAGCGAATCCATATGCGATAATAAATTGAAGAGTGAACGTTCTAACAAAAGCTAAAGGAGATTGTATTGAAACTTTGAGAGTCTGTGATAACCATAATTAGTTAATATATTGTTTAATAAGTGTTTTATTTATGTTAAAACATCTTAGAATCCCAATGTTCATAGTGAACTAATCCCATTTGGTGAACAAGAACTCCCTCCCACACCATTATATTTCTCAGGACAGTAGGCCAATCCCACTTGGTGAACAACAGAAAATGCAGGCTGCAATCTGCAGAAGCGTTTTCAGTTGGCAATGGGCCCAAACAAGGCTTTCAGAACAGCTTGTTGAACTACTTATTGACGGGCCCATTCCAGGCTCGCATTCAGCTCGTGGGCCCAAACTGGCCTACATAACTTTGCTCATTTTTTTTAGAAAACTTTGCTCACCTTTAGCACAACTTTCTAAGCGGCTGCAAATCTATGATCACGTAAATAAAATCTTAAGGGCGAACGTCAAACTCACCCATGCAAAGATTTCAAAGTGCCACCATTTAAACTAGCATTGGCAAGTAGTATGAAAATATTGTATTACAAATGAAAAGTCAATTTTAGCACGAAATACTCTAATACTAATATGTGCCTTGCTTCCCCTTGTATTTTCCCAGGCATAGTTTAATGTCATTCTGTGTTCATGTGTTATCTTGATCTTGTGTTGAGTCAAGGTTTTATTTTCTCTTTGTAACCAATCTTTCAAAGTACAATAAAGATCCTTCTGTAAAAATAAAATAAAAATCTAGTGCAACATTCTATATGATTTTAAAATTCTTGATTTGGACTTACATTTGTCCTTTCATCGCATAATAATAATTTTCACCGATACATGTGTTCCTCCATTCGGTTGAAATGTGGGCCTCCAACGAGGCAGTTTTCCACCCAACGTTCGTTAAATGCGGGCCTCCATACATTTTCATATGAGTCGATAACATTTCGTTTAACCCAACTCGTTAGTCAACTTTAGCTAGGTAACACAACTAAAATTAAGAACAGTAGCTCGAAAATTTTCAACTATATCGTATATTCTAGTCTTGATCATCGAGAAATTACGGTAGATTCCGTATTTTACTAATTTCTCTCTATTTAGTTTTGACTAATTAACAAGTTAATGCTCTGTAAACTCGTATGGGAGGCTGCATGGGAAAAGTCAGCGACAAAATATCTTATACTAAAACCATAATTTAATCGATATTCAACCGTTAAATATTATCTATCAATTTAGCCTCTGGTAAAAGATTTTTGATATTCGGCTTTTACATATTGAATTTTTGGACTTTATGTGATTATCCATGATCTGTTTTAGCCGATTGGTGCTATTTTAGGGCTCTCTAACCCGAGAATGGTTGAAAAACCATACTGCCTAGTGCCATGAGTTTGATGTGTTACAGGTGGAGAAAGCACGAAAAAGGAGCGAGTGCATGAGCAATAAATCGGGCTCGAACTACTGGTGGACTAATCACTTGGGCTAGGAGGATTATTTGTGGACCGGGCCTATTATTGAAGGAAGCATTGGCTGCAAATTAAATTTGGAATTGGGCCGGGCACTGTTTTGGGACCGGGAGCGGCTGGCTTTTCGTGGAGGAGGAGAATTATTGTAGAGCAGAGGGCGGACTGGATTTGTTGTTGATGGGCCGGAATTCTCTTGGATTATTGAAAGCAGCTGGCGGCCAGGAAATTGAGGAGGAGGCGGAATTCTTGGAAAAGAGAGGAATTAAGTGGGCGGCACTCTTAATTGAGGGATTTTTTTATTTTTTCTGGGACGGGGGGAATTCTTGGTGATCTTTGAGAAGTCTTTAATAAATCTCCGGTAAAAACCGGCATGACCTAAAAAACTTCTAATTCCTTTTATTGTGCTGGGAGGGGGAAGTTTTTCTATGATTTCAATCTTAGCTTTATCAACTTCTATCCCCCTCGCCGAAATTCGATGACCAAGCACTATACCTTCTGTCACCATGAAGTGACATTTTCCCCAGTTCAAGACTAGATTAGTCTCTTCACATCTCTGCAAAACTCTAGACAGGTTAGCCAAGCAATGTTCAAAGCTAGTACCAAAAGTCGAGAAGTCATCCATGAAAACTTCAAGACTCGATTCTAACATGTCAGAGAATATGGCAGTCATGCACCACTGAAAGGTTGCTGGTGCATTACATAATCCAAAAGGCATTCTACGATATGCAAAAACACCAAAAGGACATGTAAAAGCAGTTTTCTCTTGATCCTCCGGTGCTACTGGGATCTGAAAATAACCGGAGTACCCATCTAGGAAGCAGTAGTGAGAATGACCCGCCAACCGTTCGAGCATTTGATCAATAAAAGGAAGAGGGAAGTGATCCTTTCGGGTCGCCTCATTCATCTTCCTATAATCTATGCATACTCTCCAGCCCGTAACAGTTCGGGTAGATATCATCTCATCCTTATCGTTTCTCACTACTGTCATTCCTCCCTTTTTAGGGACCACATGCACGGGACTAACCCAAGTACTATCAGAGATAGGGTAAATAATACCTGCATCCAATAGTTTCATTACCTCCTTATGCACCACTTCTTTCATGTGCGGGTTTAGTCTCCGTTGTGCCTGGACGGAGGGCTTGGACTCCTCCTCTAGAAGGATCTTATGCATACAAAATGCTGGACTAATGCCTTTGATGTCGGCAATAGTCCAACCTAAAGCCTGTATGTGCTGGCGTAAGACCTTCAAGAGCTCCTGTTCCTGCGAATCAGTCAGTGTAGCAGAAACAATCACAGGTAAAGTGGAGTTTTCCCCCAGATATGCATACTTAAGGTGACTAGGCAATGGTTTTAGTTCCAATTCCGGAGGCTGGATCCGAGATGGAACCATTTTCTCTGGAAACTTAGCCTTTTCATCACCTTCCACCTGCATAGGCAATGCCTCGAGCATTTGTGCCCTCTTTGACACGGTTAGCTCATCAAGTTCATTATCAGAATCATCAAACTCAGAATCAGCATCATAATCATTGTTCAAAATAGCATCAGTGCATGATTCTATGACATCCACAGCAAACACATCACTTGAGCCATTAGGGTACTTACTTGTATGGTATACATTGAATTTTACCTCTTCCCCACAGACTCTGAATGTCAGTTCGCCTTTTTGGACATCTATGAGAGCACCCCCCGTAGCTAGGAAGGGTCTCCCAAGAATGAGAGGTACCTCCCTGTCCTCCTCCATCTCCAGAATGACGAAGTCGGCGGGGAAGATGAACTTTCCCACCTTCACTAGCACGTTCTCCACCACGCCTTTGGGGACCTTTACTGATCGATCAGCCAGCTGTAGAGTAATTCGAGTCGGTTTGATCACATCTTGGAGTCCCAGCTTCTTATAAACAGAATATGGCATGAGGTTTATGCCGGCTCCAAGATCACAAAGCGACTTTGTAAACTCTGTCTCACCGACAATACATGGGATGGTGAAGCTCCCTGGATCTTCCCTCTTCTCTGGCAATTTATTTTGGATAACAGCACTACACTCTGGTGTGAGTGTTACTTTCTCCAAATCAGTCCATTTTCTCTTCTTTGTCAACAATTCCTTAAGAAATTTGGCATATGTGGGCATTTGCTCAAGAGCTTCAGCTAGCGAAATGTTGATGTGCAATTGCTTAAAGAGATTCACAAATTTTTTGAAGTTCGGGTCCTCCAAGGGCTTCATCAACCTTTGAGGGAATGGTGCGGGTGGGTCATAAGGTTTTAGCTCCTCCCTCTTTGCTTTTTCCTCTTCTGGTTTTGCACGGGCAACATGCTTTTGCACAGGCAAACCGCTTTCATTTTGCCTGTGCAAGGCTGATTCTTCATTTTCTGCACCAGATCTTTCTCCCGGTGCTTCCTCTTCTGCCTCTGGTGCCTTTTCCGAGATGCTAGGGTCTTCCAAGGCCTTACCACTCCTCAATGTCACTGCCACAACTTTAGCATCTTTTGGATTCCTCTCGGTATTAGCCGGTAATGTCCCAGGAATCCTGCCCTGCATATCCGCCAGAGTTTGAGCCATCTGTCCCATCTGCCTCTCCATAGCTAGCATAGAAGATTGTAAATTATTGTTGATGGCTAGCTGTTGAGTGACAAACTGATCCAGGCCCTTTAGATTATTGTCGGTTTTCTGCATGTGATCCAGAAGCAATTCTTCAAGTTGTGGTTTCTTCTCTGGTTGAGGTGGAGGTTGTTGTTTCTGCATGCCTGGAGGTGGAATGTTGCGAGCACCATTTGGGTTGTTGTTTGCCCAGGAAAAGTTAGGATGTTTCCTCCATTGTGGGTTGTAGGTATTCAAATACATACCACCCTGGCCTTGATTTCTCTGATTGTTGATATAGTGCACATCTTCCATCTGATCAGCCACCAGTGGACATAGATCCCTGTGATGAGCACCTTAACATAATTCGCAATAAGCAACCTCCTCCTGTCTACCAAGAGCCAACTTAGCCAGCCTTCGTTCGAGTGCATCGAACTTGGAATCCAGCTTAGCATCGATCTTTGCTTCTAAGCTTGCAACTCTGTCTATCTCATGCAAGCCTCCTCTCCTTCGAATGCCGGTCTCACTACCCCATTCAGTATCTTCAGAGCATATCTTCTCCACTAGTTCATATGCTTCTGGTGCTTCCATTCTTGTGAAACCATTCCGGGAAGCATTATTCAGAGCGTCTCGGTACTGTCTTCTGATCCCGTTGAAGAAGATGGAGATCACATTCCAATCTTCGAGACCGTGGCTCGGGCATCTCATTAGAAGCTCCTTATAGCGCTCCCATGCCTCGGTCAGACTTTCATCTTCAGCTTGTTTAAAAGTGACTATTTCCTCTTGCCTCTTCATTGCCTTGGCAGGAGGAAAGTACTTATCCAAAAAGGTCTTCTCAAGCTGACCCCATGTTGTGATGGAACGGGGTGTCAAGTTCTGGAACCAGTGTGATGCATTCCCAAGCAGAGAAAATGAGAACATCCGAAGACGGATGGCATCATCAGACACAGCCGGGCTCTTCATTGTGTCACAAATGTTTGCA